GTTGGCTACATGGGAGGTCAAGGGAACGCCAAGGAGCTTTTTCTACGTGGGGAGGAGTTTTCCCCCCCCCAACAAATGCCTAAAATTTGTATAAAACCAGGCAAGTATGTTTCACACCGACTGGGAAAACGTCTACCAGATCCCTGCCGCTACTGATCTTGCCCTTCTCGCTCCTTCCGACTCGGAGCAAGAACAGGAGAATCGGGCGCGATGGGTCCGATACACCTTTATTTCTTCATTTCCAGGCAGGTGAGAGGCTAACAGCCGACTTAGTGACCTCGAAGGGAATATTGGTAAGGCCACACTTCGGAGCACGTTGCAAACTGGGTTGTTTCAACTCCATTGAAAGCCCTCCCATACACGCGAGTTGCCTTTTTTTGTGCTCCCCCGCACGGTATTACTTGGGAGTAAATTCTCTCCCTTAACTCCGAGAAACGTGCCTGCGTTTTACTCCGGATTCCATGCGGTGCTTTTTCTCCGTTAAAGTGGAGGGGAGAGGCCAAACAGCTGCTTTCGTTTATTATCGCCTCCCGCCAACGCTAAAAGCCGATGGGGTGGACAAGGGGCTGAGCGACCCTCCTGAGCACAAGAGCAGCTCCCTCTTTCTTCTGTAGAGAGTTAGCATCAGGAAGTTTCAATCCCTGGCTGTGAGTTTGAAACCGATTGCAAGCCACGCAATTCCAGGTAGCCCCGAGAGAAGGAAAGGGTTAGATTATTAAACCAACCAGGTTCTCGCCTAAACCTATTTTACAACGAAGCAGCATTCAAGGAGGGTGTGTTGGTGGTGGTTTGTTCTCCGCGCTTGCTCGGAATACAAACTATCATCAACCTCTCCCATCCGAGCTGCAAATATTTCCATCATTTTTAACTGGGGAAGGGGGCGTATTTCTAAGGAGGTAAAGGCAGCCTTTTATTGTACCAGTGAGGGGTGTATGATCTTTTTAAGGCATTTAAAGACTCGAGGGAGCAAGTCCTTTCCTGCCTTGATAGTCTCCTTGCTGCCACGGCTCCGCCATTCCACTTAAGTCATCTCAACTCTCCTGCAGGTTCCTCTCTTACTTTTCAAACCTCCAGCTTTTCACTACGCCCTAAGTCCGGAAGCACAAACTGTTCACGAGCCCAGCAGGCAGGCAAAGTCGGCGGATTTCTCTTTCTCCCCTCTACTCCCGTTAGGCCGTAAAAAAACAAAAAACAAGAGGGGAGGCAATGGGAACGATTCAGATCAAGTCAAAGGCTTCGAACTCCCACCTGGCGCTTTCCAGGAAGAGGGGGACTTGGAGCGCCTCGATAGTTTCTCCTGAAATCAGTGGGGCTTCAACCCAAACAGACCACAGCCACCCACGATTTTGCTAGACGTAAATCCAGTAGGATTGACTCTCAAGCAAACTAGGGTTTTGTCCGAGCTAGCAGCAACGTTGCCTCTTTCCCCTTAAAATATTACGTCTGCGTTACTCCAGGTCTTCCGGTTAAGAGCACCGGGCCTCCCAAATCAAAGATCTCTTCCTAAGCCCCCCCCTCCAAAAAAACCCTCCCCGTCTCACATCAGACGACAAGAGGGAAATATTTCGGAAATCCCAAACGCGTTTTTCGAAATGGTCAAGAAACATTCCAGGCACGTTAGTTCCTTAATCCCAATCAACGTTTCAAAATTGTATTTTCAAGTAAAAACACGTTTAGAATTCACCTCTTCTTAATTCACGCTTGACTAACCAGCCCCAGGCCAAGCCGAAACTTTTGAATGCGCCGAAGGTGACGCAGGACCCCTCTTCGTCCGGGCAAAGAAAAGGCCTTTTCACCGCATTAAGCAGCTCCTGAGGACTGGGGGGAGGAGCCGTAAACTGATTAAGGAAGGAGTTCGTTAATTTGCTTTGGGAGGCTTGTGTTTGCTTTTAAAGCTGCAGACCGAGAAAAACAAAACAAAAAAGCCCACCCATCTTAAACTCTTATTTGGAATTCACCTAAGCAAAGCACAACACCACTGAAAAGGCATGATTTGGACCGAGGGTGGGGAGGATGAGGAAAGGAAAAAGAGGAAGGAAGGAAGGAAGGAAGGAAGGAAGGAAGGAAGGAAGGAAGGAAGGAGAACGCAGANTTCTTCTTCTTCTTCTTCTTCTTCTTCTTCTTCTTCTTCTTCTTCTTCTTCTTCTTCTTCTTCTTCTTCTTCTTCTTCTTCTTCTTCTTCTTTACACTCAAGAACCGGTGCTGGTTTCCAGCCAGGTATCTTCTTGTCCCAGCACAGCTCTTTACAGGCTTAGGTTGGTAGTTTGTAAGAAATGACCTCTAAGCCTTTTCTTCAACCCCTGGAAGGAGAAGTGGATACCTCGTGACTGCACATTTAAGGTAGTGTTTTTTCAACCTCAGCAAGTTGAAGAGGTGTGGACTTCAACTCTCTTGGGGGATTCAGGGATTGGCAGTCCACTCATCTTAAATTTGCTGAGGTCGAGCATCGCTGATCTAAGTTCCACCTTTACTGGCTCTTCCCGCAGAGGACTGGATTCAAGAAGCCATCTAGATGAGGGGTCTCCAACCTTGGCAACTTTAAGACTTGTGGACTTCAACTCTCAGAATTCCTTCTGGGAGTTGAAGTCTACAAGTCTCAAAGTTGCCAAGGTTGGAGACCCCTCATCTATACTGCCTCTGTGATACATTTTTCAAGGGCCTACTTTTTAAAGGAAAACCCATGCTCCAAAATAAGCAGCTTCTTTCCTTGGGCAGATCACAGAGGAGAAACTTGCTGATTTGGGGCAATGAGCATCTCCCCCCTCCAAGCTTTCCTTCTGAAGAGGCCTCCTCTGCTCCTCTGTAGGACCAAAGTGCAGGAAAAAGGCATCATTCCAGAGCAGAGTGTATCCAGTTCCATCTTCTTGCTTGACTTCTATCCCAATGGCCTAGAAACTCTTCGAGAGAAGTTTGTTCTTGATCAAATGTAAGTGGGCTTATATGAAGCCTAACCCAGAGGGGCATCAATCTGAGTCACTCCTTTTCCTAAAAACAGGTAGAGCCTTTCCCCATCTTTACTTTAGAAAGGGAAAATCACGACCAATCAAAATTGTCCCTTCTTGGTCACATAATTCTGATCTCAAGTGGGTGATATCAACAACTGTGTGTTCCCATTCTATGTACTAGAATAAAAGTAGATTTTTCAATCTGATATTGTCCTGCCATGGCTTCAAGTTGTGTGTGTGTGTGTGTGTGTGTGTGTGTGTGTGTTCCTTTGAATCAGGATTCAAAGGCAGGGTGGTTGTCTGGATTAGTCCCTGCAGTTTTATTGATGGGATTTCAGAACTGGTTTGCCACTGGCTTCTTCCTAGGGCTGAGAATGACTAGCCCAAGATCTCCCATTTGGCTTTAAGGCTTGACGAGGGGCTACAACTATGAGTTCTCCTGATTTCTGGCCTGGTATTTCTCATGAAGTTAGTTGTAAAATTATTGCAGAGGCTGTGATTGTAACCAAGCATATTTTGACTACATTGGGAATCGCAAGTCAGCCCCCACTGCTGCTGT